AAGGGCGAAAGCGGTCGTGGGCTGTGGATGGATTTTCAGCAACCTTATGAGTAGTAGATTACAATAGGAATATATACATGTATCGCGATATTTGTAATGTTGTGGCGACTGAAACATGAGGCTGCCTGGTGCATGCAGCACACTCACTTGCCTGAGAACGTCATGGAGAAACGAGAGATTCAGCTGGGTTCCAGGTGAGTCTCTCTAAACAACCAAATTAGTTTGCAGATGTATGTATATTCGCTGATTAATACCACTTTTGCAGCAGAAAAGCAACATTAAGGACAGTGCTTTGGAACCGGGGAAACGTAAGAATTTCGTCTAGTTGCATAAATGTTTCTCCGCAAAGTGGAAAACAGTGCCACTGGTAAGATAGTGGCCTTGTTTTGCTACCACATAGTTAGAAACGGTCCTACTGCGATCAGCACAACAGGAGATATCGGAGGGCTGATAAACAGCCCTTATATAAGGGGACCGTATATACTGGAGGGAGCGAGTCATTGCTGACCGAACGGTTGAAATATGGCACCTCAATACTCCCTATATGTTTGGCAAGTCGATACTAACTACCTTCCCAAACTTCAAGAATATTAGCCCAGACTACTGACGTCTTTTTATAAGTCCCGAAAAATATGGAATGCAAAAGCGTGCACAGCCGAGACTTTGCAGGACGCGCTCTGCAATCCCGTGAACGTCGGGTCAGCTATCGAATCCGCCTGTAAAAGTGAGCCTTGCGGAATTTTCCGTCTTGTAGCCTTATCAGCGTGCACTGAACATACCCTGTTCGCACGTCACGAGATACTTCGGGAATACTGACAAATGGGAATCGATTATATCGGAAAGCTTCTAGAAAGAGTAAACATTTGACTGTTTCCCAATCGATCTGAGTGGGGTCAGCGCGTAGGTTTGCCTTACAACACAAACACAGCGGTATCATTACCAAAAATACATTTTCGATTTTGACCGGGGGTGACTTCACTGGGACTTCACATGCTGGGAAGACTTTTATATCATGAGTTTTTATTGCTTCCAACGGGAAAGTGAGACTGGAACCAGTTCATTAAACTAATTGACCGATTTGATGTGGAAAAGTGGCCGATATTGTGTGAACGTATTAACACTTTGCCCAGATTCATTATTGCTGGCGCCATTTTCTACCTGATCATCGATAATAAAACAATTTAGAGGATTTTAGTGTCTTTTAATGTTCTAACGTCTATTACTTCCAAAAATCGGATCTTGGAGCCCATCAGACCGATAAAACACAATCAATGAGCTGGGCGTTTCGTTAAGTGGTACACAAAATCTTTATTNTAACCGTTTCCAAGAGGAGTAGAAGATATACTCTGGTCGTTTGTTCAATTACTTTCTCTTCTGATGGTAGTTGACCATTTTGGTATACCAGGCAGCCTGAATGACTCACCCTGAAACGTACTATAGTGAGTCATCATATGTTTCGATCGACTGACCCCATGTAACTCTGCGTACTTTACCAGCATGTGGCTCAGATTTAATCTACCAGTTCGGGCCACATCGGGACTGGATACCAGACAGTTCAATGTATAGGGCAAGGCAAGGCCTGTTCTAGTGTCAGGCGTTGAGTCCGCAATTCCCCATCTTGCGTACAAACGTTCAAATAAGTTGCTGAAGTGACTGGATGGGGAATGAGCCTCGCTAGTTTTATACCGGTCGTGGATGATGGCATGACAGCTGCGGTTGCTGTTATGGAGGAGCTGGGTACTTCCTGATGCAAAGAGTCCTGTCTTCTCCTAACACCGGAATATACCGGTCTATGGCATTGCACTTCCATTCGTGACTGGAGAATATTGGCTGAAATATAATCGTTTTGCGAGCCGCTGCAACAGTTTGAAATCATCTCTCTCCGTGATGTGAACTCGACCTCTCGACTTGCCCTGTCCAGGGTTGGGGAACCTGGCAGTACCTCAACCTCTCTTCAACCAGAAAACTTTGGTCTACTGTCGATTTTCGTTTGAGGACGTCCCCGTACTTTGTTGTTCTACTTTTGTGAACTGGCTCGACAGTACCGAATTTTCATTCCTTCAGTATTTTGCCAATGTTCGTCGATCTATAATAGACGCTTGTGAACAGTTCTGCTAACACAGCAGCCAAGTGTTTCGGAATTCTTGGATGGAAACTGTCCAACCCCGGGGCTGTTTTGTCGAACTTTGTAACTTTTGTAACTTTCAACTGCCACTTTTTTACACATCGAGCCACTCATCTGTTGGGTTTGAGTTATGCTGTTGTCGTTATAAAAGGTGCCGGTTTGAAGATAACACAACAGTGAGCAGTCCGCACAACCACTCGTTCTCGCGTAACATCCAACATTTGATTTGCTTTTCCATCGTCACCGTCATCATCATCATCATCATCATCATCATTATCTGCTGTTATAACCACATACTTGTCGTACAGTGGTTGTAGCTGCCACAGCTTCGTTCACCGATGATTCGGGGAGGTGGGGTAGGTGGTTGCAGTCGTACAGTGGTTGCAGCTGCCACAGTTTCGTTCACCGATGATTTAGGGAGGTAAAGTAGGTGGTTGCACACTGGAGGCAGGAGCTGATAAATTAGTGCGTAAATGCAGCACTGTCAATGGACTGTCAAGTGGGGGGGGGGTTGGAAAAGGAGCTATGCATTGAAGGCAATGGCTTGGATGCACGAGCGCCATTTAGGGCGCGACTGGGCCATGTCTGACAATGTCTCTGACCATTGATATGGCCCGTCTCGGGGTCCCCATCCAGGAAGACGGCAATGACCAGCGCAGCTGAGTTTGCCATCCATAAGCGAAGTGCAAACGCACTGATACGTGCCACCCGCACAACTATTGCAGACTGGTAATCACGGTGTCCCATTTCAGTTTGGCATCCGCTATTAACAAATTACTACCGTCCTTCTCAACTAAATCCGCTTCGCATGGATTCGATAAACAACTATGCCACCGGCCATTTTCCATTCCTGACGACCTCCAATGCGGAGTTCTCTACCCCACCTCTCCAAACAATCGGTGAACGAAAATGTAGCAGCTACAACTACTGTAGGACAAGTACGAGGTTATTACAGCTGACACTGATGATGATGACCGAATGCCAGTTTTGATGACAGCACGACCGCTTTCCCTAGCAATCAGCTTCTATGTAGGTCCCGGTTTTGTATACTACAAGAGATGATGAGAGGTTCCGTTCTCCAACCCGAAAATGCTTGCACTATACAGGTTGGACTCTCCGCACATCCACATACCTTGTTCAATTTAGTTACCCCTACATGTTCTGATATTTCTGATGTCAGCGACGTTTCAGGGCTTTCGATTTGCTGCATGTGGATTATGAATTTTTAGCCAGAATATTTTTGTCCTGTCGCTATCCCCCAAAGCCCTTTGTCGTTCTCAGCAGACTGCATTTACAGTAAGATGAAATACACACATAGAGAAAAAGTGACATTTTTTCACCGATTGCAGTTGAAAGATGATCATTCGACCTCAGCAGCTGAGCAATAAATGGGTACTGCGATTCATCGGACGTATTTAGCCTCCAAGCTACTCATGCTTTCTACGGCGGGGTAAGTCATCTTGAGGAGTGGAAGGAATAACGCTTCCAATGTCTCGCCATGTTGTAAATCAATTCAATCACACCTGCATCGAACTTCTATTTTCCACGTGCCTGTGAGCATGCTTTTCACCTGACTAAACAGTTGGCCGGAGTCAAAAACCAAGCCCGGAAATCGGCTTCGTCGATCACACAGCTTGTTCAACCTAGCGTTTGTCGGCCTGACCTCAAAACATCAGATTCCTAGCCCCAAAACCCCAGCAAATCTGTCAGGTTTCATGGAAGCACTGATGATTAATCACTGTCGACCAAGTACGGAATCTCTTCAACGTGCTTTGAGGAGGAAATGACCTCACTGATTCACATATTGATTGATTGCTCCCAATGTTTCATTCCGTTTCAGATTGCCGAAGCTGTTTTTGTCTTTGGAATGCGCCTAAATAGAGAGAAATAGAATACTGATGTTCCGCCGTAACGTAAGATGGAATAACGTATGGTACCTCGACGCTTATCGATTTCGTGGGATAAATTAGTTTTTGTTCTTCTGTTCCTATTCAAACCTACTTATGTGGCACAAGAATAGCATATTTCTAACGTTCCAGTCTGCAGGGGTTGATGGCCACAATGGACTGACGACTATCAGACACGGATCCGTAATAGCGTTGAGCCAAGTAGACTGTAAGGTTCCTACTGTAAGTTTTCTTCCCATATCCTCCTGATTACCACCAGAACGGACACCTCATCGAATACAGCCCCGGTCGATTTATGAGCTTGGCTATATGGAAACTCATCGCATGCATCCATGAGGAATTTTGTGGAACTCATCCTTGGTACATTTGAAATGATTTTTCACCTTTATAATCCTGGGTTTTGGTTGCGGAAGATGTGTCTCCCTTTGTGTAGTAACGGTATATCCCTCAGCTTAGTTCCTGGTCTAAGCCTTCTAAGCTAGCGTTTACGTCAAAACAACCCATTAAGGTTCACAAGGTGTATTAACGCTCAAAACGAAGTCAGGATCACTTGTACAGCGCTTCATATATATAGCGTAGGCGACAATAACTTTCTGGAAGTTCTGACACGTTCTGGAAGCGGCATTGGCAACCGGCATTCGGCCAATACGGGGTCATGATTGGCTGTTGGGTCCAATCTTTCGACCAATTAGATCTTGGCTCGAGGCTTGACCGACAAGCGTCCCAAATTCTTGGCCAAGCTTGAGTGACATGGACTTCTCGGTCGTAGCAGAACCTGAGTGCGGGCGTTAAAGGGGGATCCATGTGGAGTTCCGCCTAACACTTCGTCTGACCACACTTATTATTGCAGTTTAATCGGTTGAATCCGTGGTAGTGAATGCATCTAGTGACCATTAACTTTGCAATCAGAAACATTTCAAGCGCAAGGTCATCATCCGTCAGAAAAATGACAACTGGACTGCTCTTGGGAAAAATACACTGATCCATGTATTTTAAATCGCACTTTTGAAATGGTACTCCAATGCGCGTGTTCCATAGAAGCCTTTTCATGGTTCAGTCAACGTAATATTAAGCACACCGCAGTAGTAATCTCAGACGTGAAAACGCACTGCGATATCTCAAATATCGTACCGAGAGAAACATGAGGTGGACTTCGAGTGCGCACTTAGCGTAACAATATCATAAAAGAGAGATTCCTTTGAGTCTCTCGTGAAAACGCAGTTGATTTGCAGATAAGTGTATTTGACGAAATCGGTCCTATTAGGATTCACTTAAAACACAAAGTTGACGAAAACTCGAGGACTGCGCCTACATGATTAGCCACAAGAAGGACGAAAGCGGTCGTGAGCTGTCCAAGCGTTCTCAGTAGCTTTGTGAGTAGTTTTCCCGATGAAAATATACTGTGACATCTCGAATACCGTAACAACTGAAGTGAACTTTGTTCATCTCATTTAGTTTGAGAATATCTTAAAAGCGAAACTGAGTTGGGTGTCAGGTTATTAACAAGGTAATTGTTCAATAAATGACTATGTTTCGTCGATTGTGTACAAGTAGGTGGTCCAACCAACATACGTTTGATGGAAATTCGGGAACTACACCTACCCAATGAGATTCAAGAGGGGCGAGGCCGAGCTATCGAAGGTTAGTGTTAAGCCAAGGACTTCTCTTAGTTTTTGATGCTTCCTTCAGAAGTCCTTCAGTCGACGCTCTCACAAAAGAGCACCTGTCAAGCCGCGGCTATCAAATCACGTCTTTGAACTGGTGGGCGAAACATTAAAGAGGGAAGTTCATCCATTGTATCAACCAAATGACGAAATAGCCAGGCGAGCCATAGATCATAACTTCACAAGATTACAGATACACCTCTTCCTCGTTCCATCAGTATGTGTGAATTTAGATTCGGGTCTTGCCTG